GAGAAGATGGCTCGCTGAGGAAGATCTGGCTCGACAGGAAGGCGAAGACGCAACGTCGAGGCGAACAACAAGCATGGACCATCGACTCGGATCACCGGCCCTGAGGAAGACGAAGACGTCGAAACGTTAGCCGAAAATAAATATATTTATCAACCTCGTGCAAGCTTATCAAGAAAGAATACATATTGATTAGTCACACCGAGGTTTAGGGAAGGTCGGTTTCGAAATGTTTGGTTTTAATTTAGATTTGCCGACTAGATGTTCTTTTATGCGGACGCAAAGCGGTCTACCGTTTTCGCCAACGTTCTTTTTTATTTCTACCATTCCTACGAAAAACTCTAGACCGGTTCTTATTAAACGACGTTTTATAGCTGCACTTATTTCGTTTGAAATAAAGGGCAAGAGGAACGGAGCCTTCGTTGTTTCACAAGGCAAAAGTAAACAGTTCTACTGCTACGCCTCCACCCTCCGATAGGCCATCGCTGTTGTATGATCCAAGTCAACTGCCTGAAAGACTGAATGTAATTGCAAGGGTAGACCACAAAGGTCACATTGCGGCATAAGGCGTGCGGCTGCGAGACGACCATGGTATAGAGATCAAATACTATGATTTACACAGATAGAGAACTTTTCCAGTTTCACTGGAAAAGTTCTCTATAGGGTTTTCCTGCTTAGAGCATCAAGTTTATTCCCAGGTTGAATCCTCCATCCAATGTCCTGTGGGTTCACTTGTGATCAAAATATGTTGATATTGTTCACTAATATGAGTTAAGAAAGTCTTTATAGGAGGAGGTTTCATGTTCGGTTATCAAGTGCTCATAACAAATCCTGCTCAAGGAGCATTCATTCAGTTCCTCAATATTTCCTACACAAAAACCCACGGAGTACAGCAAAATCAAGAAACGCTTGAGGTTAGATCTTTCATAGTGGATTCTTATCTGTTGTTCTCTCTTCTGGTTTATTGGAATAGTTTGACGATTTTTAAGTACTATGACTCTTTAGTTGATTTGGGGTTTGGTCATGTCCACGTTCTTTTGGGGAGCCACTCTGGGTTCCTTGCTTATTCAAGTGATTGCTGACTCGTTAGGACGGAAGAATGGAATAGTAGCGGCATTCGTCGTGCAGATCGCTGGTTTAGCAATCGCGATTGCGAGCTATTTTGTGAGCATTTTCTACTTTTGTCTTTATATTGAAACCCTATAGGATCAAAATGTAAACGAGGACTCAATTTTTAAATAACCAACTTCTTCGCATCATTTTGAAAACGACAAGGAACGAAACACCGCATGAAGGCAATAACAGCGCATGGTATTAGAGGAATTGACTACTGAATGACATTTTAACATTCAGACTTTTAAATTCTGAATAATACTGCCCTATGTGACGGACGCGAATACTAACAGTTGTCGGAGGCCCACTGCAACACACACGCGGAGCGCCCATGGCCCGCCAAAGCCTCCGTCCCTCCAGGGTCGGAATATCGGTACCAGACTTATCTGGGAGGATAGCAGCACTGGCTCGATACATCGGTAGGTCACTGCGAGTCATTGTAAAGGCCAGATATGCATTCAGTCACCTCCAAACGATGCTTCATGGCGCATCCGTCAGGGATTGATTGATCAACGCCGAGAGCCTTATCCTTTTACTGCCTGATGCATTTTGATTAATGAAGGAAGAAACGAAACCATGAAAGTCGAAAGCGGGGCAGTAATATTCTTGGAAGAATATCAGTACAATCTCATAGTTTTCGAGTAAATTGAGCTGATCTTTTTGTAATACGAAATCTCTTTTTGCCGTTAACGTACTTTCCCAATACTTCCCTCTTCTTCGATTATTCAGCTAATACGAGGTTGATAAAAAGATTTATCCGACTGAAGTTTCGACATCTTTCTCTTCTTCAGAACCGAACTAATATGAACTGGTTTGTACGGGACGGATGTTAATCTATTGCCGCGCCCCGATATGATCTCAGCGTTACTAGAAATCGAAGTAATATTGAAGGGCGGCAGTAGTTGAACACCAGTCCTGCATAATCAAGCACCATTGTGTGAGATTCTTTATTAGATTGATGCATCAGTTCACTCGATCCGACTCATTGCTACAACGAACAATCACAAGGTGAAGACGACCAGTGTGGATCGTTCACTCGGAAGAATCCGGCTCTAAAAAAGGAGAAATCCACCGTAGCATCAGCTTTCCCTTCAGTAAAGAACAAAGTAACAACCTCATATTCGTTCACCAGGAAAACGGTGAATTATGTGGTCTTACTTGATACTTGATACTTGAACAACCCGTCATCACAAGTTGTGCGAACCTCAGCATGATCACCATTTTTCGGAGCCTTGCTGGTTACGCCATTGTAGTTTTCTGGAATCCCGAGGACGGCCTGGCCAAAGTCTGCCCCAGGTCATCACCGTGACAAGCAGTCGCAACCTTTGTGGATCAGAGGGAGATTTGCCACCATGCAACTTTGATACCAAGACGGTGGCGGATCCTGGTATTCGTTTACCCTTAGCTAGGCTTTCTGATGGAAACGCCGAACTCCTTCTCAGCTTGGGAGACCATGCAAGGAGGACGAATCTCCCAGTGTACATCGCAGTCCGACCCCCAGGAACACCTCCCACCCACGATGGCAAATTGTTGGGAGGGATATTACCCTACAAGTGCCATTTATGGCTGTTGATGAAAACGGCCACCGGAGAAACATGGGTACCTTGGACATAAAGATCAACTCTCTTGCACAACAGCTTGGATACTTGGAAAGGTCATGTTCAGAAATAGAGCGGGCCTCAGCAAATTTTCCGTTTGTGTTTCTCAATCGTCGTCCATGACGGTAGTTCGAACTTTACGAAGTTCGCGAAGCCCGGCCCGTAGTCCTGAGATCGTTCCCATAAGCAAATGCAGTTCATTAACCTGATCCACGAATTCCGTCGTGTAAGTGATGATCACAGAATGCACTAGCGCCCTCTTTGAGTCCACTGCACAGTTTTTTTTTCATCTGTCATTTGTTTTACATTTGATTACTGCCTCCACTATGTTTTGCAATCCAAATATGCTAACCTTAATCTCGAATATGAGAGAGCTATTGATGACATAGGCATCGCAACTAGACGTTTTCTTGGGCAAGCAAATTTCTGAAACGATCGTCCAAATGCTGTAGCGTGTAGCATTTTCAACATGCTCGCCGTATCAACCCCAGCCTATCCTACATAACAGAGCGCTCAGAGTACTGTTTAGTGAAGAAACGAGTAGGAAGTTTTTGTTCTGACAAATAATCGGTGACCATGGTGCTTTCTTCTTCTTTGTAATTGCTCTCCTCCGGACGATTTACCTCCTCATCGTGACTGGGAGGTGTTCCTGGGTGTCGGGCTGCGACGTACAGCGGGATGATTCGCCACGTCTCCCAAGTTGAGAAGGAGTGCGGCGTTTCCAAGGAAGTCTATGAGCAAACCAATAGCAGGATCCACCATCGTCCTGGTATCAAACTAGTCGCGTGGTGGTGAATCTCCCTCTGATCCACAAAGAAGACGACTGCCTGTGGTGGTGACGACCTGGAGCAGACTTTGGCCAAGCTGACCTCTGGACTCTAGGAAATCACAATGCCTCAACCAGAAGAATTCCGAAAAAACGGAAATTATTTTGCGGCCCGCACAACCAGTGAAGACTGGCCATCCAAGTATTCAAGTATTCCAGTAAGTGTAATTGCTCCTTCTGTTCGTTCTCCGTGTCCATTCAACGCCCAAGATGCAAGCACGAAGTGGTTTCTGTAATCAAATAACCAACTAGCTCAATTTCTTCGCCGTCGTACTGTACTTCATTAATGGATGGAATCTTCATCCTGTTTGCTTTCACCTCTCCACTGAGTTCATTGAGCATTCTCGCTGCTCTACAGGCACTCCTCGAAAACTTAAACATATAACCACAATGATGCTGAGATATTTTCAAAACTGCGGACCTCAGTTGCCTGCCGTGGAGACTTAACGGACTATTCCTTCTCAGCTTGGGAGACCTTGCCGGGAGGACTCTCTCTGCTGTACATCGCAGTCTGACACCCCGGAACACCTCCCAGCCACAATGAGGCGGTAAACCGTTGGGAGGAATTATGTGATCACTTTTTGTAACAGTTTTCAGGGTCGACTTTTTATTAACCTCGGCATTGAATTACAAATCCGTCGTTTTCTTGTTCAGCAATGGCGAGTTTGTTATACAGACACATTTGCTTCCGTGCAAAAACACACAATGCAATAGTTCCCAGGATCGACTTTCTCTTAACCTCGGCATTGGAATATGAATGTGTCGTTTTCGTTTTCTACTAGGCCAAACGCTTCAATAACGCTTCAATAACAAAAAGACGAAAAACTCCTTGGTAATTACATGATCAAGAGCTGCTCGAAAAACTCATCGCTTTTTATGTTACCTCTAATGAGGAAGCTTAGAACAGCTGATTATAGTCGCATGTGGTTGACGACTGCACCATCCCACATCAGAAATCGATGCGAACGTACGGGATCAGGTCGCGTATGACCTCCGGACATTCATCCCTGCTAATCATTGTAGGGTTTTGGCATTTATCCAAAAAGCCTCAAGAAGTTTTCGCGCTGGTGTTTTAGGCTCTTGTGCAAGGATATTAACTTTTACTTCAAAATCGTCTTCGCTATGCTTTCGTATCCTATGCGTGCTTAGTGAAGTGGTTTGTGTTGGTTTTCGTTTTCCATCTAGGTGTTCTTTTATGCAGATACATAAAGGTCTGCTCGTTTCGCTAATATATTCATCTCCGCAATATTACAAGAGATCAGGCATATTGTATCCGAACTCATGCAGTCACCGTCCCTGCCGTAAAGGAATATTGTGCAATTCTGTGTTTCATACGGACGGTCATACAGGCGGTTACGAACTAACTGACGCCGTAGAGTATCCGGTGGTATTTCAGCTACCGCTACCGATTCCTCTAGACCTGCCCTTCTTAAGCGTCGCTTTATCACCACACTTATTTCATCACTAATGAAGAGCGCTCTCGCAAAAGAGATTATGCTTCCGTCATTTTTTATTTAATGGTATAAGTAAGGGGTATATATGTGATTCTAATGTTGAAAAAGTTTGGTAAAGAATTAACGGATTTTAATATACAATTTTTCCATTACTTTTCTACATTTTAAACTGAAATTTTGAGCCATTTCAATAGCCAGTCGTTCAAGAGTAAGAACTTTACACACAAGTCTCAAGACACCTATGGGTCGCATTTTCTTTTTTGTGGCTTATTTTAATGCGTGAAACTATTTTCCTGCAGTTTTTTCCCAGCAATTCGCATCTTATATAACGCAGATGTATTGGGTACTGCTCGGGAAAGGCTCCATTCTGCACTTAGAAATATACCAAAAATTTACACAGTTCTCTACTAAGCATTTGCTATACATGCCTTTATACTATAAAAGGATTAAAGGATGAAGCTCTTCGCATTGATCATTCCTGAGGGATGCGCCATGCATTCGACTTCATTAAGCATCGTTTGGAAGTGATTGATGCATATCTGGCCTTCACAATGATTCGCGGTGGGCTATCGATGTATCATGCTAGTGCTGCTATCCCTCCATACAAGTCTGGTACCAATTTTCCGACCCCAGAGGGATGGAAGGCTTGGTGTGCGCAGGGATCGATTCTACGTGTGTGTTGCAGGACGCCTCCAACCACTGCGCCACACGCGCCCTATATTTATACTATACATAAACAAAAGTTTCAATTTTAGTTACCATATCAAATAATAGTTATCGTACAAAGTATACAGGTATAAAGAATACTGAAATAGGTGCCTATAAATTTGCAAAACACTTCCAAATGCTGGCAGTAATGTGTTTCTTTGATGGACAGTAGTAACATTTAGTAAACATCAGCATATATATCATTCTGCCATAGAACGAGAGAGAAGGTCTTCTCTACAATCCACTCGTGCTCAAAACCAACCAAGTCCCCTTGTTATCGAAAAATTACTGCTCGTTTTCAAAAAATCAGCAATTCCATAAAAGCTGAGAATTATGTTGTCTAGTTTGCAGCAAAGATAGAGATAAGGCGCCGTCGGGAGAGCGTTAATTGAAGAAGTGCGAGTTCAACTTCTTTGCTTATTATAAGCAACATTCTTCTCAAAATAACGAGTGTCACCGATCTCTTCTCATTCAAAATCGCATAAACTTTCTCTGCAAGTTGTTGTA